AATACTAATACTAGCTAGTAATTATAATCGATGGCCCAAATCTTTCATCTTTGTCACCCCCAAAAAATGTTTACAATACCCAGTGCTCGGTATATTTATATTACCATAAAGTCCGTAGTTAAAATGTCCGAAGTATAAAAACTCAACGGTGAAAAAGTCTGAAACATAAAAAGTCCGGTACTTACATATAATTAGGTAGGTAAAAGGAAAAATACCATGTGATGGACAATAGAACTTCCATAATTAGTACCTATTAATATGAATGTTATTGTAACTAAATTATTTACCTACCTAACAAAATAATTTTTTTTTTTAATATTATTTTTTTGACGACAGTTAGTTAATTAAACTGATTAAAGTGATAAGTGAAAAATCATAATACTAGAAAATATTATAATTATTGAAATTTTTTTGTTAAATTTATTATATTTTGTATGGTGATAGTAAAGTTAATATTTTATATGAAGATAGTTGCCTAATACTCAATTTAATTAAGAAATCATTAATAAAAGCCTACAAACTTCAAACTATACTATCTAAAATATAATTTTCATTTTGAGCATTCAATTCCAAGGTCTTGATAAAATCTAAATAATATGCAAATGTAACTTAATTTGGTTCGCAACCATTTGTAATCGAAAATACTGGACTGCTTCCAATCAAGTTATATCAATATATAACTTGTGAAGTGTTTTTTTGATTCTTTTAATTTCGAAATTCAACCCCTATTTATAGTGTGGTTCACACAATAAAATTAATGCCGTATTAATAATATTACGAGTTAATAATTTTTGTTTCTCGCACGTTACCTATGTAACCAAAAAATAAACAAATATCCGGCCACAACGGTTTTAATTTTAGCTTGGATTTCGGAGGCCAATATAAGTCTCTTTTTAAAAATTGCATTCTGTTTGCATTCTCGAGTTTAGAATCTAAACCTATTTACTTTCGCGAATTTAATGCAATTAAACCGAAATACTCCAAGCGCAGGTGGATTGCTCATCTCGATTGGATTTGTGCACAAAGCGAGGCACAACGACACCGCGAATTGCATGTGAAGTGAAGTACATTCAATACGAAATACATCGCAGAGCACCGTGACCGTATTGTGTGATATTGTTCATTTTCTCCCCCAAAAAGTCAGGTTTAGTGTAGTATTTTTAGGTTTCGTATTTTTTAAACGATTTAATTTTATAACAATAATAGCTGATCCCGTGCACTTCGTCGCCCGTTAAATGTATCAACTCAATATGACTCAAACTTTGTTCAATTCATTATTCAATATTCGGTGTATGGTGCTCAAAATGTATCTTATCTTTTCCGTTGCCCGGAATAAAACTTCTGAATCGCAACGAATGGATCTTCGCAGGAAAAATCACAAATTATTCCAATATGGCGTCACTACACTGTTATCACAAAATATAATGCTTATCACAAAATAATATTAAAATATACTTGTAAACTATAAAGTCAATTATAATATTTGTTAAATTCAAATAATCGTCTTAAAAATTAAGTTCAATAATAGTTAAAATAAAAAAGGTAAATTAAAATTCATTGGCATTACATTGTTATTTTTTTAAAAAGTAACTATGGTCATTTGAAGAGTGGATATTTAATACTTCACCACTTAAATCTTCCATTAACTAATCTCTTATTAGTTGGCTATCATTTTTAGATAGTGTGATATCCATTAAATTATTTATATTATTTTAGATTCTGAGTGAAACGATGAATGTATTGATTTTACAATGATGTGTGTTTTTTTATTTTTTTTGTGTCTGTGTACACCAGCGATTCCCAACCTCAGGTCGCGACCCAAATTGGGGTCGCGGAGGTTTTTATGGCGGGTCGCGAAATCATTATATACGTCTTACAATTTACATATTATTAAAAAAAAATAAAAAAATCCTGAAATATTCTAATAATAAGAATTATAATGATCGAGGAAAAAATAATTTGAAATAGATTATCTAAATGATCTGTCGCAGGCTGTGCGTGGTCGTACCCGCATAGCGTAGTAACAGGTATATAATTTATATTTTTGCTCATAATAAATTAATTCCATATTACCTACATTTGAAAAAATTAATAAATTCATTTTTATAATACATTTTATACAAGTATTTCAGAATAGAATATAGATAGATAAATCAACAAATATACATATTTACCAATTTGATGATAATAAATAAAATAATGTTTAGTTTACAATAAATTATGAATTTTTTTTTTTTTTTTTGGGGTCGCCAAAAGTTAAATTTAAAATATTGGGGTCACGCTTATAAAAGGTTGGGAACCGCTGGTGTACACGATAAGTAGTCGAAATAATTCTTCGATTTTCAACTTCAGTATCTTGTTCGATTGGAAAGTGAATATCGTTGGTAATTGTGATAACAGTGTAGTGACGCCATATTGGAATAATTTGTGATTTTTCCTGCGAAGATCCATTCGTGAATCGCAGCCAGTGGCGCCGAAGTCCATGCTGACGTCGGGCCGTGCCCGACCTCTTTTTTGAAAAATGTGGCCGGCCGGCCATATTTAATTTACATCATAACTTTATTATAAGCATGAGTAAATTTAAACCGTGATTATGCGAATAAATTTATATTAGGGTACTCTATATTAAATAATTAAGATATTGAGGCCGGGAAGTTTTAAAATTGCCCGACCACATTTTCAAAACTTCGGAGCCACTGATCGCAGCAGTACATTATCAGGTAGGCAATCTACCTGCGGTAGATCACAGACCCCGTGCTGTTTGTACGGGAGTGTATGATTTAACTCTAAAGTATTGTAATGATATGCTCACACACCATTATAATAAACTAAAATCTTACAGAATACTTAATAAATAACGGCCAGACTGTCGTTTGTAGAAATCGGTCACATCAAATAAAACCATTATTAACGACAACTAAGATATCGGCACGCACTCATAACGGTAAAACGCAGGGTGTGTGCATGACTTTATTATATGATGCCGCCAGAGAAAAGGAAAGGAAAAAAGGGTATCTGCCGCCAAAGAATAATCTAGTTCCCAAGCTCACGATAACCTTTTGATAAAGCCGCCTACCACTCTCTGGTCAGCATCTTCTCGTCTTCCCTTAAATCAGTGCATGAGCACCATTCACAGAGTAACAACCTCCAAAAAAAGTCTAAAAAAACCGATTTCAACGAGCGACATTCTGGACTCCTTATGTGAGCAATAATCAGTGCGTTTATTATTTCGAGTTATAATTTTAAAAAATATTACTCTGTGTCTATTAAAACCCTTACAAAATATTCATAATCGACTGCGGATCAGGTAAGGCAATTAATATAATATTTTATATTAATTGCATTTATTATTTTATCTGTGCATGTTTTATATACAATTGTGTTGTATAGTGTATTTGATCTAATTCTCGAAAACACGATCTCGAGAGCCCTCCGAGCACCTGGAGGAAGGTAATTGCTTAGTCTTACGATTTTAATATATTTATCGACAGGCGTCGTATTTTATTTTTTATCGTGATTTTTGAGTCATTACAGTATCAAAGTTATACCAAGTTTATTTTGATATAATACTGTGGATTAATATAACAAACTTGGTTGCTCGTAAAAAATCGCAACTCTTAAAAAAATTATGATTGTTGAATTCCTTTTGGGTGTAACTTTCTGGGGTAAGTGCAACTCAGCCACCCTGGTAGGCAATGTTCAATAATTCGATTTGATGCAAGCTTGTACCTGATCTGCCCGAATAACCAATGGCAACCAATAAATAAATGCTAATTTCTAATGTAGACTGTAACTAATGGCAACTATAAATAAATAAAAATAAAATTTCCAATTTCCATGGTGAATCTCAATGTTCCTGTTTCAGCACCTATTTAAAATGCGAATTTTGGCGCACGTCTACATAATAATAGCTATCTGTATGCCAAATTTCAGCCAGATCCGTCCAATAGTTTGAGATGTACGTTGATAGAAGTCCATCAGCTTACTGTTTTATATATACAGATATGGTTGCCATGGTAATATGGACACACACACACACACACACACTGACATACATTCATTTTTATATATATAGATTATTGCCCCTAATAATGGCTATACTATATAAGGTGCCTGTACACTGTAGATTTTTCCTCGTAGAGTTACTCTAGCTAGAGCTCTCTAGATTTAGACTAGAAGTGTACACAACATATAGAGCGCTCTAGCGGTTGCCTCTCTAGGATCTAGGTAGACTAACTAGAGTAGACGTAAATCTACTGTGTACACGGAGATAAACACTATAGCTAGATCAGTCTAGATCTATTTGTTCAGTTGAATAGACCAAATAGAGCACGTGGAAATATTGAACAGTGTTTTCGATATTGTTTTGTTTTTATTATACATTTTTGTAAATTTTCTTTTGCATTTATTTGTACAATGGCCGATGTTGTGTGGGACAAGCAAAAAACCTATAAACTAATTGAGCTTCTTGAATCGTTTCAATCGTTTCTCATTTCTTTCAGTAACTTTGCGTGCACTCCTTCGTCATCTCTTTTTGATATCCAATTTCTCACCCACAACCTCTTCGTTTTTTTCGATTTTATTTTCTGTTTTTTTTTTAATCAATAAACACACTATAGTTGCAGCTGCAACGCGTTTGCGGTCCGACATTTTTCTTAAAAAAAAGAAAACGAACTAACAGCCAAAATGCTCTATCAATAACTATCTAGACTATCAAGTTGTTGACTAATGTACATGATCTGATTTGATCTATGCGATCTCTATAGACTGCTCTAATAGAGCACATTTCACTCTAGTGTAAACACACTTCTAGTGCAGTCTAGCTAGAGCGATCTAAATCTAGCTGTATTTATCTCTACAGTGTACAGGTATACGGTTTAACATTTACGTCGGCAACGGTTGTCAACGTGCTTCCAAGTAAACATAGTAAATATTATTACTCATTATTTTCCTGCCATCCTATCTGTACGTTTCGACTTAAGTCAAACTTTTAAGCGAAGATGTATTCGGTTACAATAACACTATGTCTATGTTTGTGCATCTTGTCTGAGTCAATGGGCGGGCTCGTGGTTATGAGTCGCGTCCCCCCGGATCCGCGGAAGAAGTTCAAAATAGTATCGCAACTACAGCTGAGAGGACCGGAGTATAATATGGCTGCCGATCAAAAAGTTAAGTCGTCACCGCCACCACCGATCTGTGACTGTTCACATGTATCCGAATATCCTCATCCGCAAGTCGTCGGTTCGCAGGTAACCAGCCGCCGTCCACAGTACATCGACGATCCGAAGGTAAACGGATACCGTCCACCGCACATCGGCTACTCTAAGGTAACCGGTTACCGTCCATCGGCGTCGACGAACTGCCCAACGCAATGTCCTCCCCGATGCACTATGCCTCCGTGGCCGACTCGCCGGACGCCACCGCCATGCACGACTTATCGGACTATGCAGCCACCTTGTACCACGTGCTGGACCTTGCCACCGTGTACGACGTGCCGTACCAAGCTGCCATGTACAACGTGCCGGACACTGCCTCCGTGTGACGAATGCCGGACAAAAAAACATCCGCCTGTATTGGTTGTAAATGTCAAAATTAACCTACCACAATAGAACAGCAGTACGTCTAACGTGGTAGGTTAATTCCACTTGTACGAAAAATACCGTTGGAGGTTTTTTCGTCAGGCATTCATCATCACACGTTGGCAGCGTCCGGAATGTGGTACATGGCAGCTTGGTACGGCACGCACTAAGTTTAAGTACACTTGTAAGTTCCGTACAATTTGCCTGTTTAGTTTTGTAATTTATTTTGATAATAAAAAAAAAAGTTGTTATATATTTAAATCTCTTTATTTTCGATACAGTAGATCTTCAAGTAAGAAAAGTAGAAAAAATTAAGGTTGATGTGAAGGGACAAATAGGTATAATATACCATTACAGTATATAACACAATTATTTTTATTTTTGTAACAGGTTTTTTGTTTTCTTACTTTTAAAAAACAGATGACGATAATAATCGATGTGAGAAAAATATTATCTTTCAAGTACTTACCTACCTACCTGGCATATTCAATTGTTTTATGAACTAATTTCGAGATGTAATTCGAACTGTACGCATACACTACAAAAACCGTTTCAAAAACATAATTAAATTTATTAAAGTATTGGACTATCTTGTTATAATTATTATATTATTATTGATAAAGTATCCATAGTATTTTATCAGAAATAAGGAATGTCCAATAAATTTTTGACGAACGGTCTCGCATCCACGTCCTTGCTCAGCATTTTGGTCACCATTTCTTGTAATTGTGCAGGGAGTTTGGGCAATACATTGTGAATTTGATTTTCTAACTAAAACAAAATATAAATACAACTTATGTATATTTAAAATAATATATTCTTGATTATCAGTAAAAACATGTGCTGAAATAAATTTTAAATTCATGGGCTACAGTATAATAATATAATGTGATATAAAGTAGATGCACACATTTCAGCAAAATATTATAAAGTTTCTATGATATTTATTAATTATGAATAATCAGTTAAACATTTAACATATATAGATGGATTGTTGAATTTTACTTTTCGGAACAATTATTATAAGGGGGCTCCAGTCGGTCGTGTTTTTAGGAAATTAATATAGGCAATTTAACATGAGGACATTAAAATGACTTGTAAAGTAAATGAACATTAGTGTGTGTGAGTTTAATCTGTAATCGTTTTCGGTAAATATTTCCTAGAAATGTCCTGAATTATAACAGTAGGCCCGCATAATACCGCCCAGTTTATCGGTCGTTATTTATATTCGTTGTCAATTTTATTAACTTACTTACGCGCAGTCGTTGTCGGAAATTTTAAATTATGATCAACTTTTTGAAATTTAAAATAAGCGGTTTTTAGACCAATAAGCTAGACAGAACTATACACTTTTCCACGAGAGAACGGTACCGGCGGCCGACCAAAACGCGTCCGCCGCAGCGCATCCCCCACCAACTATAAGTTGTAAGCGTGATCACGTGGTTGTACAAGCACCAATCGAATCATTTTGCATGCGTGAAACGATACCGTTCTCTCGTGGAAAAGAGTATAGAACTATAGAGGAATTTGGTTTGAGAGATTTTAATTTTGAAAACTGATTATTATTGATTAACAAGTTTACTAGGTTATGCCAGAGGCGATTTTTAATATTCCTATTATTGTTTGTGTCATGATGAATACATACTATAAATACAAAAATATCATATTTTTTATTCTTGGATATCACAGCTAAAAAAAATATTCAAAATCGCCTCTGGCATAACCTAGTAAACTTGTTAATCAATCATAATCCGTTTTCAAAAATAAAATCCGTCAAACCCAATTCCTCCAGTAGTCCAGTTTTGTCTAGCTTATTGGTCTAAAAGTCACTTTTTTTTCATCGACTGGAGTCCCCTTAACAAAAATCTATTAGCCGATAAACCACACACAAAAAAAAGATCAGGTTGTGCAGGTAGCTAGAAACCCAAGGGCTGCCGTACCGCACAATCTATAGATAGGCATATAGCTATATTTATACGTTTATTTTAATTAATAATAACTAATAATCTAAATATAATAAATATCTTTATCGGACTAAATTTATGCCTATAACCTTCTCTGTGAGGTCCTCTTTAATTTAAAAAAAAACTGCAAGACAATCCAATAAGTAGTTTCAGAGTTTACCCCGAACAAACGCTATCATTTAGTATATAGTATAGATGTATATTTTATTTGTATATAATAATTATTTCGATTTTTTATATAGGTTATGATACTAAGTACCTACATAATAATATACCGGAATTTTTTATTCCGGACTTTTTAGGCTTAGGACTTATCTACGGCGGACTTTTTATGCCTCGGACATTTTTTCCTAGGACTTTTTTACTTCGGACTTTTTTTACCTCAATTCCAGTGCTCGAATTGGAAAAATAAAAAAAAAGGTGGCTCAGAGACCTGATACATGTAGCGTTATTCCTTACAATGATTAAGCTCAACCTAGTCCATGGGTTACACCCCCTGTAGGGTAAAACGGTAATTGTGGACTGTATGATGGGTATGGGTAACTTCTTCAAATAAAAATAAAAATGATGTGAGTGCTATGCCGGGTGACGGCTTACTATTTGTAAAGCAATAAATAATTTAAATCTGGGGCACAAATGTGCCGGCCGGCGTAGGGCTCTTAAAACTAATTCTTACAATAATTTTACTACTACAACAATAATATAAATTAATAACTCAATAAAAACCAGTGATACTTGACGATGAGGTGTGGGTGATGGTGAAACTGACGGTGTGGAGCGGGTGATGGTGAAACTGACGGTGTGGTGCGGGTGATGGTGACTTGACAGTGCGGTGCGGGTGATGGTGACTTGACGGTGCGGTAAAGGTTTGGTACCTGGTTGAAAAAAGTGATGCCTTCACTTTGCCCGTGTAGTAGGTACAAAAAAACACAAAGCACGTAACGCGACGGCAAGACTGTTTTCGCGGTAATGTACACGGTATCGGAACACGAACTCGACGTGCACGCGCATTGACGGCTAACCGGGAACAACTGATCGCAGCGGTGTAGCAAGGTAGGTCGGGCTGCAGTTTTTCTTATCACCGTTTGTTTTGGTGTAGGACGTCTGAACACTGAACATACCGCCCACCTTGAAGGAGCGCACCTTCAATTTTCTTTTTCTTTTTTATAGCGGCAATGGACACAACTTAACTACCGGGCGGGTGAATATTTTTCCATTGGCAGTTCGTACTTTTGCTACCCGTACGACTCCATCTGGGCCTGGAAATATTTCTACCACTCGTGCAGTTTTCCAAGTGAGTGGTGGGGTAGGTTCCTTCAAGATTACCAGAGCTCCGAGACGTATGTTGACGGTTACACGGTTCCATTTGGGTCCCTCTTGGAGTGTGTGTAGGTATTCCCGGTGCCAACGATTCCAGAAGTGATTCTGGATTTGTTGTATCAAAGCCCAACGGTTGCGCGGTGTGACAGTTAAGTTTTGACTTGAGTCGGTCGTCGTGGGTATGGAAGGTATGGGCACCAGTGGTTCCGTCGTAAGGAAGTGTCCTGCCGTCAGTGTTTTGAAGTCACTGGGATCGGCAGACATGGCACTGAGTGGTCGCGAGTTGAGTGTTGCCTCTACTTGATGAAGGATTGTATTTAGCTCTTCATACGTTAACACTTTTCCGTTGGTTATCCGGTGTAGTAGTGTCTTAGTTGATTTCACTGCGGCTTCCCACAGACCACCCATGTGTGGAGCAGCCGGTGGGTTGAAATGCCAGGTTATCTGGTGGGAGGTGAGGTGATTGACGAAGGTATCGTGACGAAGTATGTGATCAATATTTTGCAAGTATTTTTGGGTACCAACAAAATTCGTGCCGCAGTCACTATGGATGTCAGAACACCGTCCTCTTCGACTGATGAATCGGCTTAGTGCAGATATGAACAAAGGGGTCGACAAGTCCGACACCAGTTCAATGTGTACGGCAGTGGTGGCCATACAAATGAAAATACAAATGTAAGCTTTGGTTATTTTTATTTTTCTTAACATGGCTGCTTTCACTTCAAATGGTCCAGCAAAGTCTACCCCGGCTCGACCAAAAGGTTTGATTTGAGAGACCCGGTGTACTGGAAGGTTTCCCATAACTGGCTGTAGGACGGATGGTTTTGCTCGAAAACATGGAATACATCTATGGGTCCGTTGTCGTATGATACTTCTCGCAGACAATATCCAGTAATCCTGGCTCAAAATGTTTTGAAGGGCTTGAGGTCCAGGGTGACCGTTTTCTCGGTGAACGTAGTCGATTAATAACGTAGTTAGACGGGAAGTCTTAGGGAGTAAAAGAGGGTATTTTTCTTTATACGGTATCTGTGCGTGTTTCAAACGACCCCCTACCCTGAGCAACTTGTCATCATCCAAGAAAGGGGCTAACTTTCTTAGACGCACTGAACAAGATTTTCCCGCTTCTAAACTGCAAAACTCGTCGTAAAAAGCTACTTGCTGGGTCCATCGTACCTGAGCTTTTACAGCTTGTTCAATTTCTTCAGCAGTGGGAAGCGTAGTGAGCATTGAAGTACGTTTATTTGACAAATAATTCCGTACGCGTAGCCAGTAAGCAGTGAGTCGCAGAATCTTAGGGAAGTTATCCGATTGGTACAGCAATGGGCATTCTTCGGTTTTCACTCGGACCACAAGAGTGATTGGATTTTCTTCAAGCTCTTCATCACGGTGATTGGTTGGGTTCATAGGTAGCTCCTGCGGCCATAAATGTTCAGGTTGTCGTAGAAAGTTGGGGCCATTCCACCAAAGACTATGGGATGCCAAACGATTTGGGCTTAATCCTCGTGATGCGCAATCTGCGGGGTTGACGCTAGTCGGTACATGCCGCCAATTTCCGACGTCGGTATTTTGTTGGATTTTTGCCACGCGATTTGCCACGAAAGTTTTCAATTTGGCCGTCGGGGATCGAATCCATGCTAGGGCTACCGTGGAGTCCGTCCATGCGGTAACGTTCGATATGTTCAAAGTTGCAACATTAGGTCGGACGTACGCCAATAGTCTTGCTAAAAGCCAGGCCCCACACAACTC